AGGCTGAACTAGGATCTGGCTTCCAAGATGCTTTCACGTGCCTGCTCATTGCTGCTCTACTCACAATAGCCAGGAAACGGAGTCAGCCCAGATGTTCATTAGATGATGAATACATAATGAAGTGTGGTATATATACACAGTGGAATTTTATTCAGCCGAGAGAATGGAGGGCGCTAGAAAACATATTAAGTGAGGTAACCCAGGCTTAGAAAGGTAATATTGTGTATTTGCAGTGAGGACCCCCCACATTTAACTTTAATGCAAGTGTGGTTATGTGGAATTGTGTAGAGCCCAGGATAGTGGGAGAAAGAAGCTTTAAGGAGGGGATGAGGACAGTAAAGGAACATGTGTGATCTGCAAGTGAAAGAGAGAACACTAGGGATGGAAGACTGCCAGCAGGAAGGGGGCAGAGGGGGAGGGGGCAGAGGGTGAGAAGGGTCAACCCAAACTAAGGCATGTGAAAGTGCCATAAAGAAGCCAGTTACTCTGTATGCCGATTAAAAGTAAAATTAACTTTAAAAAAAGCTCAAATAATTGGCAAGTGGTGTGTGCATTTACATCTGAGATGCACATTCCATAACTGAGGCCACAAGTAGCCATCGTTAGAGGTGCATCATCATAGGCATCTGAGCTAGGCTGTATCTGGCCTTCGTCCAGAAGCTGACTCAGCATAGGTAAGTCCTACTCACTGACCCTTAGGGTATCCTGTGGCCTCCAGCACAATAATGGTATTATTTTAATGTTTAAATTCAGTTTTCAGCAGGGTCTGATTTTTGCAGCAGCATGTAAAAAATTATTAAACATATAATGCTACCATATGCTCATGCTGTTTCATTACATAATGTAAAGACAAAAGCATTCAATATAAACACCCCACATGTTACAAAAAGGCCTTCTTTGTATAAGGCCATAGATTCCTGAACTGCCCTGAATTTTAGTGCACTCAATGTTAACTTGCTTAAGATGTACTTTGAGTCAAATAGAACAAAAACTATCACTAGCAGCATTTCCATGTACAGAGAATATTGCAGTCTTTACTATATATGAGATGTTTTGAGGACCCCTTTTTACTCTTAGTGTGAACACTTAGTGGCAATGTGTTCCTCAGACTAGGTCACCCAAGAAGACATTTGTTCAGGTGACCGAGTTGGAACTTTTCCTGCATGTGTATATATGTCAGGTTGCCAGAATGACAGAAGTGACAGATATTTTTGTTTTGTTTTTAAATACATATTTATGTATATGAGTGCTCTGTTTGCATGTATGTCTGCATAACAGAAGAGGGTATCAGAAGAGGGCAACAGATCCCATTTTAGATGGTTGTGAGCCACCATGTGGTTGCTGAGAATTGAACTCAGGACCTCTGGAGGAACAGCCAGTGCTCTTAACCGCTGAGCCATCTTTCTATCCTGACAGACGTTATTTTTTTCTTTTTGTTTTCCTCAATATATGTTTTTACTTAAATTAGAAACATGCATCTTCACATGTCAACCCCAGCACCCTGGCCCACCCCTCCTCCCCTATCCCTCCACCAGCCTCCGTGCCCCCCCCGCACCATCCCCACATCATTACCCAGGGACGGTGAGGCCCTCCTTGGGGGAATCTCCAAATTCTGACAGAAATTATTTTTAAAAAACCAATTTGTTGTACATAATTTTTAAAAAATCGTTTATGCAGATCAATGTTTGAACTCAGTGTCTTTATACTTGTAAACTGGAAAATGTTGTTCAGTCAGATAGCGTGACAGTAATGAAAGTAGGAGTTCAGTGGTTAGGAATACTGAAGGAACTGTCTAGTTTGGCTTTTCCCTGAAAGTGTCATCCGTCTACAGCTGTGTTAACACAAGTGTCATAGGAAAAAATATGTAGAGGACAACCCAAATCAACACAGCAGAACTTCAAAACCTGGGGAAGGGTGAATGAAAGCAAGTACTTCCATGTAAGTGACCCGATAATTTCCTTAGCTTCTTTTGACCATACAAAATACTACTTACAGAAGTCTGGCTACCTTTATAATTATGATGAAAAGACTCATATGCAACACCAGGAGAGTGTGTGCTGGCAACTGACAAAGCATGTCTCAAATATGTTAGGGCCTGGAGAGCTGGTTCAGCAGTTCCTTCCCTGTTCCAGGCCAGTGGTTCTCAACTTTCCTAATGCTGCAACCCTTCAGTACAGTTCCTTGTGTTGTGACCCCCAACCATACAATCATTTCGTTGCTATTTCATAACTGTAATGCTGCTGCTGTTATGAATTATAATGTAAATATCTAATATGGGGCCCCAAAGGGGTTGTGACCTATTGGTTGAGAACCGCTTTCCTAGAGGATCTGAATTCAGTTCCCAGCACCTACATCAGGTACAATTGTCTGTAACTCCAGCTATGGGGGTCTTTGGCCAGCTTAAGCATTGACACTCATGTTCACTAATTCCACACAGACACGTGCTTTAAGATGAAATCCTAAAGAAGACAAAAATAACTAGTATTTATAAAAAAAACCAATATATTAAATATCTTTAATGTTTAAGGTAAGTATTTACAGAATTGAGGCTGTTGGATTTTACATTTTGGACAATCAATAGACTAGATAATAAAATTGTGGACCATTAAATTCAGGAATTTAAACTTAGTGAGTTTTACAAAAATAAACAAATATCCAGGCAGTACTGGTGTATGCCTTTAATCTGAGCGCTTGAGATGCAGAGGCAGGTGGATTTCAGTGAGTTTGAGGCCATTTGTCTACAAAGTGAGTTCCAGGACATCCAGGACTGTTACACAGAGAAACCCTGTCTTGTAAAAACCAAGCAAGCAAGAAAGCAAACAAACAAAATAGCCCAGTTTTGTTAATTTCTTGTGTTCATTTCTACAATTTAAAAAAGTGGTAATGGTTCAGAAATGGAACATTGCTGTCAGGGTTGCTAAATAGATGGTTTTACTTCCTGCCTGGAAGGAAAACTCTTAAGTTTACCCCTGCCCAGCCAGGCGCTGTGCTTAACTGTAGGTGCTGTAGACAGCAGCGGCAGACTGGGTCCCCAGCTTGGGAACAAGTTCCTTGCTGTTCTGCTATGTTGTTGCCTGTGGATCTCATCATGAAATCCTTATGCTCAACTCTATTTGCAAAGAAAGGGAGAAACTACAGTTCTTTGCTTATAGAAGACTAACACCTACTCAGTGAAATCCCTCGGTGTTCTGTAGAACATTGCAGAGAGGCACAAATGCACTGTCAAGCACGAGGGGGGGCAATTCTAGTTCTTTTAGGAGCTTACTGTACTGCTTTTGATGCTGCTCAGAACTCACACTGTAGGCAGAGAATGACAACTAAGAGCAGGCTTCTGGAAGTTTCATGGTGTTTTAGAATTCCAATCCAAGGAAGGGTCTTCTTTGAAAATAGGAAAGCTCTCATCTCCCCTTTTACTGGGAGCCAGGGGCCCTCAAGGGCAGTTTTATCATACTTTGCCATCCCAGGTCAACATGTGGCTCCACAAGTGCTTTGTTTCCAGGACTTTGAAAGTTGGTTAGTATCATGGGATACAAGTTCATCTGGATCACAGTGCTCTTGCAGTCAGCTTCCAGGAGCATCTCCCCAAGGGCAGGGTTGTGCTTGTAAGCCTCTTAGTCTGGAAAGTTCAGAGGTATGAGCAGTGGATACTCTGAAGGACTCAGGGTGTGCTTGAGAACTCAGTCAGGTTTGTAATGCTATCTGCTCATCTTGGTCATTATCTTTGGAAAAGACAGACAGCTGCTTGTCCCTAGCCCACAACCAGAGCTCTCTGCTGCAGTGGAGGTGCCAGTCATTCCAGGGTCCTGTTTTTGTTTACCTAACTTCTCTGTCTGGCCCTTGCTATCCCAAGGGCCTCTTTCAAAGTTAGTTGGAGTTTTGTAAACTAAGCATTTAGGGTAAGCATGAGGTAAGAATTTAGCTTTGGGTTGAGCACAGACCTACTGGGTTTGCAGGAGACAGTTACAGTGGAGGTCCAGTACAGTGTTGGCTAATGTAGAACATTAGAAATGTTCAAACAGTGGGGATATATGCCTGTGATGGAAGACACTTTCTTCTTTCTCTTCGTTCACCCTGAGACCTCCTGGTTGATGAAAGGAGAGAGAGAGAGCTACCCATCACCTTGAGGGGAGGCTGTCACTTGAATTTCTCCAAAGCTTCCAATCCTGCTGTAGCCCTCTCTAGTTTGCCAGCCTGCCAGTACGGTTTAAAGGTTGCAAACAAAGCAAGTGCTCCCTCTTGATCCATCTGGGCCCCTCCCTCTGTCATCCGTCATTGTCAATGGGAGATGTATGTGTAGCGGCACAAGGGCAATGTCTGACCTCAAGGGTATTGGCAATGTTCTTAGAGAAGGCATTGTTTGTTCAGCCTCTTTGGAAGCACTGCTCCAGGCGTTCCTGAGCCTCTGGCTAGGGCATGACTGCAGTCTGCTGGGAGAGAGGGAATATTCTGGTATTAAAACTACAGGAACTATATTCCCCTTACCTAGCATAAGCCTGTTCTACTTTTCAATACACCCAGCCTCTTCTTTTTTTCATTTCTGCTATCTCTTTGGTCCAAGTCTATGGGGGATTCTGAAAAGCAGAAGGAAGGACTTAGGTTCTCCGAGTTTTATTCAAAGAACATCGACATGTAAATAATGAAAGAAGGAAAAGCTGATAAGATGCAACAAATGCGTAGTCAGGAAGAAAAATGAAATAATGCTCCTTTCAAGTACAGGGAGGCTGTTGCCTGGGAGGGAAGAGTAAAGGACAGGAGGGTGCGACCCCCCAGTGCCTGGAGTAACACAAAGAAGCGACTGGCTTCACCTGCCTTCCCGGGAACGCGTTCCCAGGAGCGCTTGGGCCACGCTGCCTTGAGGCCTACAGGTGCCCGCAGCCCTGGAGAAGATGGTGCATGTGCAGGTATGGTGCACTACCCCAGAGCCTGAACATGAATTCAGTGTTTCCTAGATGTGCACTGAAGGTGACAAAATGTTAATGGAGAGTATTTGAATTTTGAGAATTCTTCTGCATGAAAACTTTTTTTTTCTATAAATATTGGAGTAATAGTTCGGGGGCTGAGGTGTACATCCAAGTGTCATTCCAAATTTCTACCTACAAGTAGCTCCCACAGGGCTATATGGGGTCAGTGAGGAGTGGCTAGAATGAATTCCTTATCGCTTACTGCCTGGGACCTAGGGTTTCCATCTGGACTCTAGGCCTCATACCTTCTCTCCCCCTACCATATGGTGTAGAGAGTCAGGAGCGATCAGAGAGATGACATGAATGATGCCAGTGAAGGGTTATTTATTTCTCTGAAGAAGGAGAAGTGCTTGCTGGCCAGGGATCGCAGTTACTCACATTCATATTACTGAGCTGCAGCTTATGTTTTAACTCATTCAAAGATAAGTCCATCATTTCACCATCAAAAGTGGGGGCACCAGAGACTCAGACCTTGAACGCGGCAGTGTTCTTTTCTGGTGAAAATCCCATTTGGCCAGAAATCTGAGTACCCAGTCTTTTCCCTCCTGCCCCTAACATTTTGGTGCCTTCTCTCCACCCCCCATCCGCCCATCTTTTTGGCTTACTGCAGCCCCAGTGCTCCTTTTTCTGGGAAAGCCTGATATTCTGACTTCAGTTTTATAATTTAATGATAGAGAGTTTCCTTAGTAAACCAAATTTAGAATCCTAGAATGCTTATCTTATATCCAGACCTTGAACATAAAAGGCATTTTATACCCGCAATTGTTCATTTAATGAGCAATTGCGGAGTGCAGGCCGGTTAAGGGATTGAGCTATATGCACTATTATTGCAAGAAGTATTCCGAAATACCAGAAATAGGACGTAAGCTCTGATCAGGGAGACTGCGAGCACAATTACCTTCTTTTCAAATCCTTCTGTGACACTGCGGGAGGAAAAAGGACTTTGAAACTTGAAAGGAAAGAGCTTGCTTTCAACCTCAAAAGCTAGGAGGAAAGGGCTCTGAAATTTGCTCAGAATTCCCAATTCACCATTAGCCTGTTTCTTCCTTTAGCCTCAAGGCATTCTCCGCTTTTTGAAAAGATGTTAAGAAATTCAGTCACAATAGAGAGCCTAGTTTTGAACATGTTTCACTCGGTCCATTGAGGTCTGGGCTCCAGCCTTTGTGTGGGGTGAATTGAGCTGAGCGGCTAGCTGGTTGGAGAGAGGTGAATGAGGAGTCGCTGTGCAGTCGCAAATTCTGGCAAAAAAAAAAAAGCTCACCCTTTCCTTTATTTTGTAATGTGCATTCCTGTGCAATCCTGCCAGTGGCAATATGTGGAGTCCAGACTGTCCCTAAGTCAATATGGAGTACTTGGTTTATAGCAACTCTTGTTAAGTTTGTCTTGTAATTGAAGCTGCTGTTGACCTTGCTTGGGGACCATTTGTAAAACCGTTTATTTAGCATAAACTGAAATAATAAACCCTCCTTCTCTGGGACTGATTGTGATAGGGTGACATTAGTTTGATTTAATGATTACCCGCCTGACCCTTCTGCTGGAGAGGGAGTCTTGAATAGGGAGAGTTCACTTCCAAGCACTTGCAAAGAATACTAATGAGCTTGTTAAATTTAGCGTGGCTCCAACCACTTTTAATTCCTCTAATGGGAGCCACACTGCCTGCGAGAGGGAGAGGGAGAGGCAAGAAAGGCCAAGAGATGCTGAGAGTGTTCCTAGAGGGTCGGTCGGCACAGCTAGAGAAGCTCACCAAGAAGTTTATAGAAAGTAGCTAGCCTGAGCCCAGGGACTGAGTTGTAAGTATCCTCTGTTTGCTCCCCCCACCCCACCTCCATGGCTTTTATAGCTTGGGGGCAAGAGAGGAGTAATAGCATTAAAATGGGTTTTCAGCATCAGAGCAAAATGGGTGCTAATGGAGAAAGAGCAAGCAGGCGTTCTTTGAGCTCCTAAGCAGCCAATTTTGCCATGAATGGAGGTATCCTACCTAAAGATGCCGAGTGGACTTCTGCTCTTGCATGGAAAGGCTTGTGTGAAACATGCCTTACACACCTTCACCTGGTGAAAAAGACCTGTCTCCTGTGTTGCAGGAGTTTGTGACCAAGTGTGCAGGAGTGTGGGCCAAAGTCCTCTTTTACAGAGCTGCGGTGCTTTCTCCAGACCCTCGTGTACCCTACACGGTGTTTGCAGCGAGGTAGCTCTTCCTCTTTTTGAGTTTTTGGCATGGAGTTCTGACTCCATGTTGGTTGTTTTTGGAGGGCTTTGGAAAATCAGGGCAGTTTCCAAGACAGTGTTCTTTGGTCAGCTCTGTCTTTGGGCATGGATTCCATTCAGATTCGTCCTCCGCCTGAGCCCAGATGACAGAAAGGAGGAGGTATAAAGTGGGATTGTGACAGTAGTATTTGAAATAATTGTTTTCTTGAAAGTTGTGAGAGATTGCATGTTTCACTTTGACCCCCAAGTTCGCAGCTTTTCAGCAGGGAAGCTCAAACAGTTGCTTGTATTTGGCTGTTAAAGTCCATTGGCAGATACTCTTGGAGCCGTGGGCTGTTTGCTTACATTTTTGCTGCTGACTCCTGCTTGTTGCCATGGTGGACAGTATGTTTCTGTCAATAATTTGGCCTAGTGTAGCTTGTCTGCACTGACTCTCAAACTTTATTGAACAGCTCGCCTCAGCTGAATGAGATGAGGCAACTTTCGTGTTTTCGCACGCAGACGTGCTAGATTTATAAGAACAGGCGGGAGTATTGCTTGGGAGTTAGTTGTGCTCTCCTTGCATACATAGTACTTTTAAGTCTCTTAGCTGGTTGTGTTTGGGAGTGTGTGTGTATTGTCAAGTTTTCATCTGAGGGCTCATCAAAAGCAAGCAACCTAGGAGGTAAATTCATGAAGTGTGTGTCTTCTGGCATTTGGGGGCAGTGGATTGTTGAGTAAAAAGGTCACAGTGCCAACTGTGTAATAAAAGTTAAGGTTCCATGATGGAAGTTTCTATATTAAAAACATTCTTGTCTGCATTTAACTTTGTGAAGAGAATGCCTTCATTTTTCCTTTCTGTATCGGCTATTTGAGCTTGTATAACCTTTTCTCACATGTTGGGACAATTCTCATTAGCAAAGTCACTATACTAAGAGGCAGGGCATTTTTCTTTCCTTCCTTCTTTCTCCCTGCAGGTTAAAGGGGCCTGACAGTGAGAAATTGGTCAGCCATGACTATCCAGTTGTTGGTGAAGTTATTTTCCCATGCTCGTTGTGGGAGGACATACCACCACAGAATTGGAGTTGACTGGAGGATGCATTTTTAAGGGGAAAACGTTAATTTCTTTTGGGAAGGTTAAGTTGAGGCACACCCCTATTTTAAACCTGGAACAGATTACAAGAACTTGCTTACTCATTTTTTCCCAGAGAATACTAATTATGTGTCACAGCCCCTCAGCAGAAGGCTTTCCCCCCTCTTCTACAGAATGTGCCTATAACTGTTCCAAGGTAACTTTAGGTTGAAATTTTAAATAAGTTTTTTTTTTCAGAGCACAGCATAAATGAGTGGAAACTATGACTTTGGCCATTTGAAGGTTGTAGGACTTTTTATAAAACTGTTATTTTCAGTGTTTTTGACACCCATATGCTTTTGGGTAACCCTGAAGTCCTTTCTATAGCCTGTAACCTCTGCTAACGAATCTCCAGGGCAGACCAACGCCTGTGTGTATTAACAGGGAGAGGAAAAATGAAGGCTCTTTTTTCTTTATTTTTGGTAGTTTGTCTTAAAATTACCAGCAGTGTGATTTGAATTACTTTTGCAAAGATCATTTTTTGTGGGTTTTAGTTGTTATTTGATAGATTAAACTTGTGATTTACCCTTTAATTATGAGGTTTCAGGTGAGGATCTGCACAAAACAATACTAAAATAATACCTCAAAGTTGCTTTGTGGTGGTCAGCAGATTCCCTGGAAAGACTCCAGCATACCTCATCATGTTTTGCAAGGCATTTGGGGTAAAAGAATTCATCGTTTATTTTCAAGCTTTACACACACATAAGCAGGAACACTAAGGTTGGTGTTGGCATCAGGTAAAATAGTGGTTGTTATCTCAGTTGTAGTGATCCGTAGTATGCACAGCTCTGCTTTCCTCCAGTGAACAAAGAGCTATGGCAGTGTTAGAAGTTAGCAGTGTTCCTGGTTTGGGGACACTTAGGTGGTTATGTTTACTTACGGGTACTTTGAAGGGAAGTTTAGATGTGTTCAGTCTGTCTATGATGTTCAGCAATATGATTATTTATACCTCTAGAGTTTCAGTTTTTAATTGAGTATAAAGACTATGCAGGTTTCTGAGTTAGATATTTAGCAGTATCCATACAGCTTTGTTTCTGTGAGCTTTTTCTGCCAGAGCAACAACTGCTGGTTAGATGCAGTTTGAGTTGCGAAGCTTACTGTTTGTGAGCCTAACAGGCAAATGAATCCACCTGCTGCGAGTCCTGATAGCAAGTTTGGCTGAAGTTTCTGCATGAGTTCTAGCAAAGTTCATCGAGCCACATTCACAGAGGATGGTGGTGGAGAAGTGGAAAGTTCTATAGACCAAAGGGAGCTCAAGTGTTAGGGCTTCTCCCCCTTACCTGCACAGCCATGCTGCACCTGGACCTTCAGTCTCACTGAGTTTCCCTCTTGGGTCCCAGGTTTGAAGTATGGGCTTTTTAATGGGTCATCTTCTGAAAAACAAAGGCCCAGAACTTCTAGGGCCGCCCAAAGCCCCACTGGACAGCTGGACTTCTCAGTACCCTGAAGATCCTGTTTCCTTAGGCAGGCATAGCAAAACTGGACATCCATGAGAGGAGGTGGGCTTTCTTTCAGCCTCTTGTGGGACCTGCAGGGTATTGTTGTCTTTGGAGGAGAAGCTCCATTGCATTGTCATCCCCAAGTTAGTTTGCACCTCAGACTTACTTCCTGCTTTATTCTTCCACGTGTAATGTGGCCATCATTCGTAGACAGCTTTGTTTTGCAAATATCCCACCACAGGTGTGTAGTTTACAAAGTAGCCTTGAAGGACAGAGAGAGCCTTCTTTCTAACAGAGACAGGTAGAACTATATTGATGACTTTTTTTATTGCTCCTTAAAGTAGATTCTAAAGTCTTTCATTTTCCTTCTTTCTGTAGAGGATGAAAGTCCTGGACAGATCTATCATCGAGAGAGAAGAAACGCAATCACTATGCAGCCTCAGAGTGTGCAGGGGCTCAGCAAAATCAGTGAAGAACCCTCAACATCTAGTGATGAGAGGGCTTCATTGATCAAGAAGGAGATCCATGGGTCTCTACCGCATCTGGCAGAGCCCTCACTCCCTTATCGTGGGACTGTGTTTGCTATGGACCCCCGAAATGGTTACATGGAGCCTCACTACCGTAAGTACTTCCGGCTAATTAGTACTTGTTTTGGGAGACATGGGTGGGGGGGCTGATTATGATGTGTGGGTGGGTGTGGTGTGTATGCCTGAGTGCATGTGCTGTGTACTGTATGAATTATTGACTCTACCATTTATAAAAGTATGTTTAATTTTACATTTTTTCTTACTTCTGTTTCATTCATTCCTCTTAGAGAGTGACATTTTCTATAGTCTAGACAATTTTAGGCTTTTCAGGGTGCGGAGATTCAGGAAGATGGTTTGCCCAAGAATCCAAATCAATATTTGCTGGATTTTGAACCAGATATGCTCTGTCTGTGCAGACATGCTTTGAGAAAAATGGGTTGAGGGTAGGAACTATTAAAGCAGGATATATTAAAAGTCTTTGATAGCAATTCTTGTGTTTCATGATTTTTGCTCTAATGACTTTTGCTATTCTCATGCCTAATGATTTGCTACAAACAAATTTTAACCATTTAGTGCTGAATTTGTTACTATGGAAGTCTATAGTGAGCCCTACTCTCCTTATAAGCCTGCCTGAGACACTGGAAGTTACCTTTCTTGTCCTAACAGAATTAAAAAAAGTTGACCAGGACTCTGAACCTAAGTATAGGGTAGTTCTTTTCAAAGGCAGACTATAAGGCAAACACATACGGGCCGAGTTTACTTCAGGCCTGTTTCTGGTTTAAGAATATAATTTGGCTCTGGAGTAATGAAAGTCATGTTGAGGTGGCGAAGTTAGAAGCTCCTGATTACAGATTTATCGCCTTGCCAGGATATAGTTGCCATTTAACCTCCTGGCTCCAATTCCAGATGATCCATTGAGCTCCAGAGAGGGAGACTGGTTTGTGTTTCCCTTTTCCCACATCATTCAGAAATTTTAGTGTTTTAAGGCAAAAGGTCATTAGCCAGATGACTGATTAGTGAGGACAGCTGATTAGAGCATGTTATTTTGCTCAAGAAAGTGCCCAGGATAAAAGCTAATTTCATCCCTTCATTAGTTAGCTGGAAGCAAAGGGGAACACTCACTCACCAGATCAAAGCGTCTTGCTGCAACCGTAAGTCCCCGCAACTGCTTCCCCCACCACGGTATATTGTTGGGAAAAATGGGGAAGCAATACTTTTTAAATGGAAAGGACTTTTTTTTGGAAGAAGCATGGAAAAATGGTTGTTTGGATTGTCGTGTTTCCCCTCCCCCCAGTCAGCTTTTTAAAAAGTTAAGTGCTTCTCTTGAAAAGATGCCCATTGGTCCCATTACTGAAAAGGAGTCTGTAGATGCAGAAATAAGGACAGAAGTGTTTGGACAACTATATTTCCTTCCTCCCTTAGGCTTACTTCATTTTGTCTTTTCTTGACTTTTCTGAATAAAGACATAAAATAATGTTGGTATGATCCCCCCCCCCTCTGGTCACATTTTGAAGTGTCTTTCATTGTGTTTATATTTGTGGTCTCTTGAATATCATTCATGCAGGAAAAATTGGAGATTTCTATATACTCCACCTGTACTTATAAATCCTCATAGTGAGTAGTGCATTTGCTTTTTTTTTTTTTGAAAAGATCAAGCCTACATACCCGCCTCCAAGCTCCTTGCAGTGTTTTGTCTTTTTGTGTGAACACAAGCTTTTCCCATCACAGTGAAGTTTTGTTTTGTTTTGTTTTGTTTCCAGATGCCCACTAATTAGTGAGGTGTTTAATTAGTCCAGACAGAGGATGAACATTTCTTTCTGTTGGTTGATGGTAGTGGAACCGTTAACATTCTGTCCAGTATACCGCTTGTTCTTTCTTTTAACAATTTCCCATTGAGTCGTCTCCCCATCATTTGAGGGGCTGGCTTTCTCTTCAGCAGGAACTCCTGTACTTGCTCAGTGTCTGTGTGACCCAGTTCCTGGCACACCAAAGTAGCATTATCTAACATTGTCTGTATTTAAATGCATTTATTGTTTTTCTCCTTTGAGGATATAGTACTTCTTTATCGATTATTCTTGTGATTTCCTACTTTATTATGTAAAAGAATGCTGAAGTAATGTTCAAGTCTGTGATCAGATCCATCGTCTGCAGCCCCATGGCAAATGACTTCTGAGATACTCACCAGTGGTTTCCCTAACTTGGGATCATTATGTAGTTATGTTCCGGGCGTCTTGGAAACTACATAGATTTGGGTTCAGATTCTAGTGCTTCAGTGACTAGCCCTGTGACCTTGACCCAGTGTGTTGACTCCCTAGAGTCATTTCCTTGTTCTCCAATATATATGATCATATAACTGTCTGTGCCTTGGGGTTCTTCTGCAGTGTGAGACAATACAGTGTTGTCATTCCTAAACTCCAATACATGCTAAGTGCCTCAGAATTGCAAGGCCATTCTGCTCTTCTTCTTCCATTTACTTCCTCTCTGTTTCTTCTCTCCCTCCATGCCCACCTCTTTCTCCTTCTCTCCCTCTATCTCCATCTCTTTCTCCTTCTCTTCCTCCATCACCGTCTCTATTTCTTCTCTCCCTCCATCACCGTCTCTGTTTCTTCTCTCCCTCCATCCCTGTCTCTTTCTCCTTCTCTTCCTCAATCCCCGTCTGTATTTTTTCTCTTCCTCCATCACCATCTCTATTTCTTCTCTCCCTCCATCACCGTCTCTGTTTCTTCTCTCCCTCCATCACCATCTCTGTTTCTTCTCTCCCTCCATCCCCATCTCTTTCTCCTTCTCTTCTTCAATCACCATCTCTATTTCTCCTTCTCTTCCTCCATCCCCGTCTGTATTTCTTGTCTCCCTCCATCACCGTCTCTATTTCTTTTCTCCCTCCATCGCCATCTCTATTATTTCTCCTTCTCTTCCTCCATCGCCATCATGCGGTTGGTGTTCACTCTCTAAGCCGTGCCATTTCTGCAAGGGTACAGTGTATTTTGTTTGTTTAGTTTTTCTGACAGCTTAGAAAATGAGTGGGCTGTAACTTGGAAGGAAGACTTAGGGTGGCAAGAGCTATGCCCTGTGTCTTTTCTAAAAGCTGTCTTTCTCATAGTCAGTTTATGCTGACTTTTGTCTGTTTTGTAAGTAAAGACACTGTGAAGCATTTTAGCTTGTTTAAGGGGTCCTAAATTTTAAATTTTTAGCAGGAAATATTTTATATAATAAATAAAAATATAGAAAAAAGGAACAGTATTATTGTTCATTTGAAATAATTAAAGACTCTAAACTAAGCTTGCATTAGGGTATGAATTTCTTTTTCTAGGACCCTGTTTGGCTATTTAGTCTTCTATTTACATTTCAAGTGTTCTTTTTTATGTGTTTATGTTCAAATCTGCATACCTGACATGGATTCGATTACCCAGGCACACTAATGATTAATATGAGCTAAAGGTAATAAATGTCCTAAGCCTTTAAAAATGTGTTTGAAAGAGGCATAAAAATGTATTTCATTTCTGTTTCTTGTGGGCAAAGCTTGTCTCCCCCCTGTAGTGCTACCCAAACCCAAGAGCATTGTAGACCTTTGTAACTCATTGCTCAGGAGCATCTCTGGGCGCCTCATTCCTCTCTCCTGTGTTTCCCAGCTCTCTGCAGCAGCTGGATACAAAAGACTCCACCAGTTCAGTGTGGCTGCCTACGAACACTCAGTAATTCCTTCAATTATCCGTGGTGGTTGGAAAATGTAGACTTTTCAAATGCCTAATTTGTGCTTCTATATATACTAACTTTGTATTTCTAAAGTGTGGGTAGGTTTCCTGTAAGACCAGAAAAAGGAAGAAGAAAACAAAATAAAACATCTTTTTCCCTTCAGAAGGACATATGTAAAATTTTTATTGCATAAGATTTTATTAAACTTGGGTATGCAGTGGTGCGTCTTCACAAATTGTAGTTAGGCAGAATTCAAAGTATTTTAGGTTTTGTGGGTTTGACTTTAAAAAGTAAAAAAGGAAAGAAAAAAGAAAGCCCAGGGATAGCGGGCAGGCACTTCAAACGTTCTCAACATGTGTTTGGAATAAAATCCACACACTGGGGTGGGGTGTTCTCTCATGAAGGGTAGCTGTGGATGGGCTGTATATCAGGTCAAGAAAAAAAAAAAAGCATGCAAGCTGCATGGCTCAGACATGATGTGGTGCTGACAACCTCTTGGCCACAGTATCAGTCACATGTTATAATTGGGATACCATGAGGGGGGCTTAGCAGATTTAGGGACCTTTCTGCTTATACCGGAATCAGGCTGTGAGACTCCATCTCTTGCTCAAAGACTGATCACAAACGTTTTTCTCCTCTTGCTCCATCTGTAGCCAGATATTTCAAACCACCATCACCCGCTGCTTTCATTTACTGCCATACATTTATTGTTTTCTAAACTTGAGAAGGCAGGTGACATAATAGTTCAAGCATTCTCTGTTCCCTGACTGACACTTAAGTTTTATTCTCTTCCTTTTAGAGGAAACACGTGTTTCACTGTCTTCCTTCTCACTGTGAAGAGTGTAGTTTTGTAGCTGTTCCTCTAGGGTTCTGTGTGTGAAGTTTGTTGGAGTCATTAAGCATGCCATAGAAGGTCTCAGTTTTGTTAAGGGAGCAGAAAGATTTCTTCTTTTTCAAAAGTTCAAGTCTCCTTCATAGTTTTATAGTTGGGCGCAGACTGCCCTCTTTGCCGCCCTGCTCCAGAGCAGTAATTCTTCATGGAAAATATGATGCATTCTTGCATGCAAATGCTCTGATTGAAAACACACCACTGCTATTCTCCCTTATGTTCCCCAGCTCAAATGACAGAACTATTAGTTGCTAATTAGCAAAACCTGAGGAATTAGCTTAAAGAAAAGAAATGGAATTTTTAATTGGCTTGCATTTATTTTCTGTGGAAATCTATTGTGCTGAGCCCACTGTAGTCTTGTGTGCTTAAAAAAAAAGCACATGCAAGTATTTTTTCATACCTGTCTATCTTTGTGTTAGCTGACTTTCCACATGCCTTAGAAATATATCTTCTGACTGAGGGGGAAGAGGATATGTATTTTCCATATTTAATAGGTGCACCTGCTCACATTT